CAAACCCACAACGAGATCATTTTATAGCCAGCAGGATGGCTCGAATCAAAAGGACTATAATAAAAGTGCTGGTGAGGATGTGGAGAAACTGGAGCCCTTGTGTACTGCTGGTGGGACGTGCAACGGTGCAGCCGCTGCGGAGAAGAGCTCGGTGGTTGCTCAGGAAGTTAGACGTAGGGTGAGCGTATGACCCAGAAATTCCCCTCCTAGGAACAGGCCCAGGAGAACTGAAAACATGTTCACACAAAAATTTGCACATCCATGCTCATAGTGTGTTATTCATAACAGCCCCCTATTATGAGTGGGGGGCTACCATGTTGGATGGAAACAACCAGCTTATAAACAGGGAAGCAACATGTGGCTGATCCACAGTGGAATATTATGCAGCCCTAAAAAGGAGTCAAGTACTGACATATGGCACCTCACAGGTGAATCTTGAAAACATTATGCTCGGTGAAAGAAGCCAGACACAAAAGGCCACATGCTGTACGATTCCATTTACTTGAGGTGCCTAGACCTGGCAGGCCACAGAGACAGAAAGCAGACCAGGGGGTGCCAGGTTCTGGTGGGAGGGAACGGAGAGTAACTGCTCATGGGCGTGGGGTTTCCCTTTGGCGTAATGAAAAGTCCTGGAACTAGACAGCAGTGATGGCTGCACAAGATTGTAAATAGGTCTGCCAGGAGCAGACAGGAGCACCCTGCAGGCTCTGGCCTCCCCCTCAGCTAGGGAGGTCCCTCCGACCCCTCTGGTCACTGAGGAGCCAGTGGCTCTAAGCAGAGCCCCACTCCCCCCAGCAGGAGGCTTTCACCATCTCTGCCCAGCCCTTAGAGAGAGAAGCGTCCTTGGGTCGAAGCGACAGCTTTTTGTGCAGGGTCTACCACGTGCTGGACGGTGTGTGGATATCACTTCTGGGTCTCCCGGCCACCTGGAAGCTCTGTTGGAATGGACATGGCTTTGACAGAGAGAAAACATCCAGCCAGGAGGTGCGGTCCAGCCATCCAGCTCTAGGGAGGGGCAGCCAGGCCTGCCCAGGAGGGTGCCTCGCAGGAGACGAAAGCACCTTTACCTTCCTGCTTCTTCCTTCATCGGAGCTCACACAGGCTCTCAGACCTACGGCCACCAGCCCTGGCCACCTAGCTTCTGAGCTGACAGCCTTCCTTTATCTAGGGGTCACCATGCACCAAGCCCCGTGCTAAACTCCTCACTCATCACCTGGTGGAATCTTGCCGGCCACCTGGGGGGGACACAGGTGTAAACCCCACCCAAGGTTCTGAGCTTTGCCTGAGGCAAGTTGGCAAGAAGCATCCCAGGCAGCTCTGCCCAGCTTCAACCCCGAGCTCCCAGTCCTCCCACCCCTGGTCTTGATGGAGCTCTGGGTAGGGAAAGATCTGGAAGAAGTTAGGAGGGCTGATGGCGGGTAGCTATTCAGTCCTCCAGCCCTGGCCTCCCAGGAAATGCCAGGGAGCAGGGAGTGGGTGAAGCCTCAGGCAAGGGGAGCGGGGGCGTCCTGGGAACCAGGCTCTGGCTCAGCAGGTGGGTGGGACAAGGCAGCAGCCTCCTGGGTTCCCAGCCAGGTGCACGTTTCCTTGTCACATGAGGGCCGTGGGGGAGGTGGGCAGAAACTGGGCACTGCTGGGGTCATCCCCCAGCAGCACCTCCCTGCTCAGACCCCCATGACTCCAGCCCCTCGTGACTCCAGACCCCATGCCTGCTCTGAGGCAGGGCCACCCCGTGACCAGCGCCAACTCTCTCCACTCCCTGCCTGGGGAGCCCTCCTGTCCTGCCCTGGACCCCTCATGCTCTCTCAACTGTACCTCAGGGAGAGGTCCCCAGAGGTGTGCCTAAGGTGTGGTGAGAAGGAGCCTTCCATGGCTGGGCACCCTGGGACCATAGTTATGCTCAGTCGAGGTGTCACCCCTGGAAGAGCCTTGCCCAGCCTGCTTCTGCTGGCGACATTCAGAGGTTTCAGGGAGACGGCTCTGGGGGCTTCCACCATGGCCCTGTTCTCCCCCACGCTCCAGACAGGATTACATGGGGGCCTGGCTGGAAGGCGGACCCAGGCGACAGATGCTGAGAGGGCAGGCCGACCCCCCTCGGACCACTGACGCTGGCCTCCCTCCCACTCGTGCTTCACCTACTGGGAGTTTACTGGGAGTCCACCGGCAGGCAAGAGACTTCACACGTACTCTCACGTGTAATGTCCCCCAAACCTGACAGAGCAGGTGTCTGTCCCCAGCGAGAAGACAGGCTCAGCTCTCAGCTCCACTGGATGCTGCCTTAGATGCCCCCAGAGAGCCCTCAGTGCCCCCTGCAAACAGGCTGCTGTGGGGTCCCTGAAGCTCACAGTCACATCTACACAGGTCTGTACCCCACACGGGGCTGTCCCCGGGGCTCAGCCAGTGCTGACTATGCAGCCCTGTGGCCGGGGTCTCTGTCCCTGCCACCCTCCTCCCCACCCCGTCGCTGACCCACCTTCTTCCAACCTGACCCAGAATGGGGGAGACGGGACCCACAGGACCTTGCAGCAGCCTCAGCCACTGTCAACTCCATGCCTCCCCACCCCAGGGGCCTCTGTGGGGACACTGTCCCACACTAGCTGCAGGCTCTCTGATTCGGAGACGGGGTCAGGAGACAATGCCCATGGGGGACCGAGTCGCAAGGTCCTTCCTGTCTGCTGTCCTTTCCCTTCCCAAGGCAGGGGGAAAGGAAGTGCAAGTGCCTCCAAACCCCCAGCTGCTGCGCTTTGGGGGTGGGGCAGGGCAGAGACCCCTCTGCCCTGGTGAGGGTGCCCTCGGTCCACTGGGTGGGGCTCTTACGTAAGCTAGGTCCCGAAGAAAGGCCAGAGCACCCAGGCCTGGGAGCAAGGCTCGTTCCTGGCTGGCTGACTTCGAGGTCCAAGGACAGTCTGAGTTGCTGCATTGGGGTGACCAGGAGACCCACCCTCCACCCCTTCCCCCTCCCCGGGCCACCAAAGGCTCGTTAGGTTCTGGCCAGTGTTGCAGATGGACGATGTGCCCAGTGCCCACGCCCTCATGGCCAAACCCTCCCCATAGCTTCATGACTTCAGGCACGTGGGGGCTCATGCTGTCCCTGCCGAGCTCGCCTGGGCTCTGGAGCGGAGGGTGGCACATAGCTGAGGACCCTCCAGCCTTCTCTCCGGTGGGCAGCCGAGGCCAGAGTCTGCTGCCTCCCAACTCGCTCCCACCTCAGTCCTGAGCAGGGAGAGCTGAGGGCACCTATGGGTACAGGTGAGCCAACAGCCCCAGGTGCTGAGGTCATGGGGCCCAGCACGCAGGAGCCTGGAAAGAAGTTGACAGGCCCGGGCCTGCTGGGGAAGTTGGGGCTCCCTGTGCACCCCCGTCTGAGACTAGCACGGCGGAGGGGAGTGGCAGCCTGAGGACGGGCCCAGAGGACAAAGCACGTCACCCTAGGGGCGCACGAGCAGGACAGGAGTGGAACCCCGAGCCTGTCCTTCCTGCTCCAGGATGCCCCTCGAGGTGGCACCTGTGGAACCTGCTCACCCCAACAGCCCTTTAAGCATCTGCCAGCTCACCTGGCCCAACAGGCCCTCTTGTCTCCTCCCCTGCACCTGCTTTGCCACGGGAGGGTTCCCTAGCGGGCTCCAGGCTCTGCACCCACAGCCCCACTTGTCCTGCAGTGGTGCCGCTTTCTATGGAAGTTTCCAGAACAGAGGCTGCTCCATCGAGTGAGGGCAGCTACACAGGCTCAACCTCTTCTCCCCGAGCCTGCACTCCTGCAGTCCAGCCCTACAAAGAGGCTTTAGGGTTAGAGCGTTAGGGAAAGGGGGGACGGCACCCTGCCGGCCCTCTTGTCCCCATGCTGCTGCCAGGGGACCAGGCCCCTGGAGGAGCTCACTTCTCATCGTGAACAAAAGGAAAGAGATGCCCGATGGGGGCATGGAGGGGGTGTCCAGAAACCACAGCCGTCCCAGGGTTCTCATCCTGGGCTGAAAAATCATAACTGCTCCTTCTTGGTTGGATGAATGGAGAGAAACGGCCTCCACGGAGGACTTCCTCCCACTCCTCGGTGAAGACCCCACGGCCCTGTGGGGGCCTGGGCAAGCCGGCACGTGCAGGACCGCGGTGGAGGCCAGGCTGCAGCGGGCCGCCCTCTGTGCCCGCTGCCCTCAGCCGGCTCTGCCAGCCCCACTGAGAGGCAGCGGCCAGGACGGCAGCTGGAGTTGGGGCGGGAGCAGAGCTGCTGTCCCCAGCGGAGGCAGGCTTGGAGGCTGGGCCTCTGGGGTGCGGACGCTGCAGGCACAGAGAGCACAACTGGCTCCTGGACCTGCATGGACAGGGCCTCGGCAGGATTCCTGCAACAGGGCTGCCCCCCAGCCCCAGCCCCTGACCAGGGCAGCAGAGCCCAACACTGTCCCCTCGGGTACCAGTGCCAGCCCTCTGGCACCCTATCCCTCAGCCCCCGTCCTTGCCCCGGCATGTGCCAGCAGCAGGCAGCCTGGAGGATGGGCAGGACAGGGGTCAGAGAGCAGGACAGGCAGAGGGCGGGTGCTGAAGCCTGGCCACCCAAGCCCGAACCCCTCCCAGGTCAGGGAGGAGAAAGCTCAAAAAAAGAAAAGGAGGGGCCGGCCCGGTGGCGCACTGGAGAGTGCTCCGCTTGGGAGTGCGGCGATGCTCCCGCCGAGGGTTCGGATCCCATGTGGAGACCAGTTCCCGCTCACTGGCTGAGCGCGGTGCGGGCGCAACACTGAGGGTTGCGATCCCGTTACTGGTCAGTAAAAAAGACAAAAAGGAAAAAAAATAAATAAATAAATAAAAAATAAAAAAAAAGAAAAGGAGAAAAACAAGCGAGGCACATATGCGTGTATTCAAAGGCGTGGTGCAGCGGTGGGTCTTCAGGAACTGGGCTCTCTACCTGCACCTGCAGGGGAGGCTCTCTGTAGTCCCCAGAGACCAGCCACCAGGGTGGTCACTGTCCCGAAAATGGAGTGGGGTGGCTGGTGGCCTTAGAGTCTTCATGGTGCCCAGTTCCACTGGCCTGCCAGCCCTTGCCAGACTGCTCCTGGGAGCCCAGGTTTAGGCCTTTCAGGTCTGTCCTGGGTCCTCGGCTGTGGTCCTCAGGGGCCTGCCCTCCCCTGCAGGCTCTCCTGTGCCTCCTCTGGAGCATGCCTGTGGCCTCTGTGCCTTCTGGCTCCTGGAAATGACATTGAGAAGGGGGACAGCATCAGAGGCCAGAGCCAGTCAGGCACCCCCTCGCTCCCCAGAAGCAGCCACTGATCAGATCGTGAGGCAGGGCCTGCTGATGGGCATAGGCCAGGGGGCCGGCCAGAACGTGGTCAAGGGTCCACTGGTCCACTGTGCACTCAAGCTGGCCGCCCCCAGCCCTGCGAGGGAGCTCAGGGTTCCAGCATCCGTGTGTGCCCTCAGGCCTCAAAGCAGCTTAGGAAGGCCTGGGAGTAGCCACTGGCTTGGAGGGAAAACGGCACGAAGGAAGTGCAGCTCGTCACAGGATGGGCAGGGCAAAGGCAGGGCCTGGGCGCCTCTGCAGCCTGTGCCGAGGCATGGGCGTCCTCTCAGCATGCAGGCTCGGGGGCGAGGCTCTGCCACTTGTCAGTGCTCTGTGCCCCAGGTTCCTCATCTGTAAAGTGGGATCACGGCACCCGCCTCATGGCAAGGCTGCTCTAAGGACTAAACAGTCTGTGCAAAGTGTTTAAGACAGAGGCTGGCATTGTTAGCTGCGACCAACTGACCAGGCACAGCCTCACTCTATCTCACAAGAACCTAGAAGGACAATCACTGTGCTTCCTTGTAGATGGGGAAACCAAGGCTCAAAGAGTGCAAACAAGGCCAGTGGCTGTGCCCCTTTCTGCAGAACCTGTGTGTGCTTCCTTGTAGATGGGGAAACCAAGGCTCAAAGAGTGCAAACAAGGCCAGTGGCTGTGCGGGGCTCCCACGGCCATGCCCTTTCTGCAGAACCTGTGCCCTGGCACCTCACCGGTTAAGTGGACCAGGAAAGGCCGGGACAGCCCTGTTGGGAGGAGGGCCTTGGCCAGATGGGGCATGGTCCGAGGGCCTGGGGGTGTTTCTGAAGAGTCCCCACTAGACTCGGAGTCCGCACCACTCCCCTTCCCCTTCGGAGACACTCCTGTGTCCCCAGTCAGGCCTGGCCCCCACTGTCCATCCTGAGCCACGACAGCACAGCAGGGAGGCTGAGCCACCAGAAACGTCCCCCACGGTGCCCAGCAGCCGACTCCTTCGTGCAGTTGCCCCAGCCTCCCCCACGCTCACCTCTCCTGCTGGAGCAGGCGGCCCAGGTGGCCCCAGGGTCCTGCGGATGTACTCTCGGGAGCGGATGTCAGCCTGGAGGAAACAGCTCCAGTGAGAAGCGCTGCTGGGTGCTGGGTGCTGGGTGGGCCTCTGAGCCCGCCCCAGCCCAAAAGGCCTGTAGAAACGCCTTGTTCCCTCCACAGAAAGTCCACTCCGGGCACGTCAAGTCCCACCCGTGCGTGGGTGATGGGAATGCCGAGAACCTCAGGGTCAAGGGCCTGCAGTGGCAGTTTTCAAACTGAGCTTGGCAGTCACTGCCGCGCCTGTGTGGCTGGTGAGTGAAGGGGCTGAGCGTGGGGGTCCTGGGGCTGCCCCGAGTGTCAGCCGGCGCCGCTCGGCTCTCATTGGGTGTAGTGTGCGCTGCCCACAGGTTTTGCTTAAGCCAGAGGTGTCTCTGCTGAAACCTTCTCTGAGGACTGTCAGCCCAGCTGGTCTGTCTTTACATTGGGTTCACCTTCTCACTCTCTAACTAGTGTCAGCTGTGACCCCTGTCCTGCCTCCAGAAAATTCTGCCAAGTCACTAGAATGAAACAGGCTTGTGGGCCTCAGGCAGGGAACAGGAAAGACCCTAACGGGGAGGGACATGGAACAAGGCTCAGGCCCAAATGGGGGCCTTCAAGGTACCTGGCCTCAGGAAGCCCTCCAGATCCCAGCTCAGACGGGCTTAGCTTAGCCTCAGGGCCACGTGACTGAGGGACAGCAATGGCTGATCCCCAGACTACTCCTGCTTCAGTTACAGGGAGGCATGGGGCAGGGTGACAGGCACGCGGGAGGGAGTGGCAGTGCCACCCCCCTTCTCCGCACCAGTCCGGCCTGGCCTGGCAGAAGAACCTGACCTGCACCTGTGATCCCACTGGGGTTGCCCCACAGTGGCCTGGGGCTGAGCCGGAGCAGTGAAGGGAAAGGGGACTCTGGACACCATGGCATGAAAGAGCTGATGGACACTGGCCCCACCTCTCACGCTCTCCTAGGTACACCTGGAGGTGGAATCAGGAGGGAAAATTGTTGAGTGGCGAGTGGGCCCTGGAAGAAAATGGACCAAGAGACAGAGCCAGCCCTGCTGCCCAGGACTCCTAGCCCCACTCCCAGCAGCAACAGAGACCGCGGGCTCCTGGTGGCAGGGTGGGGCCGCACACCCTGCCAACTGCTGGCAAAGACCAGGACCTGGCAGGTTCTTCTCCCAGAAGGCCACACAAGTGGGCTGGAATGGAAGAGGAAAGGCTTTCTGGGGGCTGGGGACGAACCTCATAGGCTGAGGTCCCATGCACCTACGATCTCAGCAAAGCCCTGGGCATGCAGAGAGCGAGGCCAAGGGGTGCCTGGCTGGAGAACGCCCCACTGTCAGCGCCCTCTCCAGGCACAGCCTCTCCAGACGCTGAGAGCCACCGTGTGCAGGCTGCTGCTGCCACCTGGAGGCCACCTTGCATACCAGCAGCTGGGGAAGCCTGGAGGAGGCAGTGGTGGCTGTTGGGTAAGGGGGCGATGGGCAAAGGGGCTCCCCAGCAGGAGGCAGAGCCAAGGTCCTAGTTTTTTACTGGTGCTGCAGCTGGGGCTAGCACAGCAGGGGGCTCCAGGGCCGGGCTGCGGAAAGCCAGGCCGCCTTCCCCAGCTCCTCCTGGAGACCCAGCAGCCTCAGCAGCACTCACAAAGAAAAGGTTAATCTGAGAGCTGTCAGCTGCTCCATGTCCCTGAGGATGAAGCCTAAAATATGACACACCCCACAGCGCTTACTGGCTCCCACCCACTTGGTACCTCCCTGCCCTGGCTCCAGCCACAGCTCCCCTTGGAGCTTCTTGGGCACATCACACTCCTTCCTGTGCCAGGGCCTTTGCAAATGCTGTTCCTGGGCCTGGACTGCCCTCCCTGCCCCCCACCCCCACCCCCCAGCAGGTATCTTAGGACAGCTACTCCTGGATCCTCTCCACAGGTTTCTCTGGGGGTATGCACCTGCCTGTGACTGGTCACCCTTGTCATGGCTGAGCATACCAAGGCTGCTGCGGGTATCCTGTGCTCAGTTCTGTCTCCCATCAGGGTGCTGGACCCTCATGTAGGTGCTGGTTACCAGTTTATGCATGGGTGCCTGGAATTGCCACAGCGTGGAGTCCCCTGATTGGTGTCCCTGGTGCCAGCACAAGCCTTCCTCAACACTGTCCCCACAACATTCCTGTGCAGGCTTCCCAGCCTGAGGATGGCTGTTCCCTGCAGGCCCTGAGGGGCTGCTTGGGGACTGGCCAGACACCCTGCCATCTGAGCTGACATCTGCTGATTCTCCAAATAACCGCAGCACGCAGGTGCAGCAGGCTGTGAGAAGCTGGGTGCAAGAGCACTGCAGACTCCGGGGCCAGGCAGGCAGGGCCTCAGCGTGAACTTCAGGAGTTTTGCATCCTCTGGTCCGCTCTCTGGCCTCCAGGGCCCAGCGTGGCCCGGCCTGCTCTCCAACAAGGTGCCCTGGGACTTGTCCTCAGCCCAGGATCACTCTGTCCTTCTGTCACTGTGCTCTGATCCCAGCTGAGCTGCCGGGGAGTGTGTGAAGAGCAGGCAGCTCGAGCTAGCCTGCCCTCACCCTTACCTCCCTGGCAGCCCACCCACCTGGCGCACCGGCTCCGGGATCCGGAACCTGCAGCAGCAGAGCGTCAGGCGCACAGCTGCCTCCAGGCTCATCTTGTGGCCCACGGAGACATAGAGGGGCTTGGTGCTGTGCTCATGGCTCTTCAGGGCCTGAGATAAAGAGGGAGAGGTCAGTGTGCAGGGACACATCCCTGTGAGCTATGCTGGGCTGCTGGGCTGGGTCAGGACTAGCCACAGCAGCTGGGGCTCTGAAATGTCCCGGATGGTAGCAGGGAGCCTGGAGGGCTCAGGCTGCTGGGTGGGAACACTCCCAGCCCTCAGGGCGCCTTCCCGGGGTCAAGGGGGGATGCACGTGGCCCAGAGGCCCCATCAGCACAGTGGGGGCAGGGGAGAAAATAAATGCACACAGAGCACCTCTGCGGGCCAATCAGAGTGGCAGGAAGATGGGGAGGGATGAGTGGGGCCTGGCATGCCCAACTGCGCGTACATGCGTGTATGCACGTGCGTGGGGGAGCCCACTGCCCTGCCGCATTGCCTCTCTGGCTGGGACCTGGGTAGGACAAAGACCCCTGGCCACTCACCACTCCCAGGACAGTCCCCGAGCCTCCCACCAGAGGAAAGGAGTCTCCTCCAGCCTGCAGGAGTCGTATCTGGAAAATGGGCGAAAAACATGGAAGAAACATCTTTTCTTGATGAAGGGCCAAAGGCAAGTCTTTTCATTTTTAAGACCCAAGCAGTCACTGGGCCAGGAAATGGCCAATGTGGTACGTGAGCCGCTGCCTAGGCAAAGCTATGCAGCTGAGACGGCACCAAGTATGCCAGGCAGGCAGCCTCCCATCCAACTCCGACTACAGGGGCTTAGAGAAGGGGCAGCAACTTGCCCAGCATCCCACTGCTGGTGAACAGACAGGCCAGGCTTAGCTGGAGGCCCGGCTCCTAGCCAGCCAGCCAGCTGGGCTGGTGGACACACACACAGGTGCCGCCCATGGGCCAGCCAGCTGTGACTGGTGCCAAGGCCACTGCCTGCTGCCTTCTCTCCTGCTATGAACTTGGGCATGTTTGACAGAACTCTACAAACTATTTTTCTTGGTGGAGGGGAATTGGCCCACTGAGTCAGGGTCAGGGGTCACCTGAGTTGGGTCTGGGGTCCCCATCAACTCAACAAACTTTTTCTAAGCAACTGCTCCACGCAGCACTGAGAGCCCAGAGGAAAGATACATGGTCTGTTCTCTTGGAATGTACCTTCCTGGGGAAGCCAAGTGTGTCACCAGCTCTGCTGGAGGGGGATATCATGTTCCCAGTGCCAGCCTTGGGGGCTGGAGGAGGACAGTGCAGGAGAAGGTGGGGTGAGGAGGGGCATGGGTGGCAGCCCTGGGCAGGCCTCGGCAGAAGCAGGAGTCTAGAGGGCAGGTAGGTGGCACATGAGCAGGGTCTGGAGGCTGGGGGTATCTGAGCACCCATGGGAGTGCCAGGACAGCCTGGAAGCCCGTCCTGTCCTCATAACTGGAGGACTTAACCAGACAGGTGGTGCTGCAGTGGCACAGAAGTGAGAGGGATAGGAGGGGCAAGTGTGCCCAGGAGGCTGGGCGGTCAAGGAGCTCAGGGAGCCTGCAAGTCTCCTGCCGTGATGCATTGCCCACGGGAATGTGGAGAGGAAGGTAAGGGGGTGCCCAAAGAAAAGCGGATCTTTCTTACTCCAGGTCAGGATCCAGGGACGTGGAGGGGAGTGTCAGCAGGCAAGGGCTGGACCTGAGGTGCCCCAGGAGGTGGGCAACCCCTAGTGTCCCAACCCCAGGGCCATCCTAGGTGCCCCTCTGCTGAGACCCTGGCACCCCTCACCTTCTCCTTGTGCAGGGCGTTGTTCTCCAGCCCGTCCACCTGCAGGAGTTTCTTGGCCACCCCAACACAGGGCAGATCTGTAAGGACGCCAAGGTGGCAGGCCACCCCAAAGCCTGCCAGGGAGCAGAGTAGGGTGAGGCTAGGGTCGTGGGTTGGGGGCAGGAGTAAGTCCTGGAGACAGGCACAGGGATGAGGGACAAACCAGAATCGCACCAAGAGCTTCCCCGAGTGAGGGCAGAGGGCTGGGGAGACCAGACCTGAGACCCAAGGTGACCTTGGACCAGGCCCCTCTGCCCCCTCAGGTCCCCTGTAAGGTGTAAGGCTGGGGCGGAGGAAACCTCCTTCCCTCTGACAAGGTCGGCAGCCTGATGGGCGTGCTCACAGTGCTTCATCCAGACTATCCTTTCATTTTCTGACACCTTCCACCGCCTCCCACCCCCCAGCCTTGCAGCCACCGCCAGACCTCTGTGCTTGTTGTCCCCATGATCTGGGCCACCTGCCAGGGGGGCTGGAGTGTAGTGGCTGTGGTCTTGTTCCTGGGAAGAGCGTGCTGGTCCCAGCACTAGCGTCGAGGCTGGTGTGTGCCCACCCCTTGGCTCTGGACCCACAGACCCTGAGGGGACCTAAGTACACCTGCTGGCTGGGAAGGCCTGATGCCACCCTATGTGGCCCGCCAAAGTTTGTATCTGAGGGTAAAACAGCCCATCTCCCTCAGTCATCTTCCCTGGCCGAGGTTCCCTGGCATCAGCAGGGGCACGGGAGCTCCCGTCTGTCTTCAGAAAAGGGCCTCACTGGCAGATGCAGGGCAGGCAGCAGGTGGGGATGGCCTCTCTGAGCTCGAGGGCCTGTGACCTCTCACAGCAGTCAGAACTGGACAGTGGTGCCTGGAGGTGCACTAGTGCAGGGCGCTGTGGCAGGGCAGGGAAGAGGTGGGGTGAAGAGAAGGCAGGGGCTTCTTTGCTGGTTGGGAGGGCTGCATGTCAGACAGTGAAAACCAGCCCAGAGAGGAGCTGTCAGTGCCGGGCTGCTGGGAGAGCCCCGGGAGCCTAGCACATATGTTTTGGACGGCAGATGTCAGAGGTGCCCTTCCTAACCCTCTTTCGGGAGCAGGATTACCTCGGTAGTGGAGCACCCCGTTTCCATCCACAAGAACGACCTACAGAGCCACAGGGAAAGTCAAGGTCAGCTGAGTTGCCCCCACCCTTTAGGCCAGGACCATCCCTGGGGCAGCAGGAAGGGGGAATGCCAATTGTGGGGTCCAGCTTTTAAGAAAATCTTATTGCTCTCCTCCAGGAAGCCCACGCAGTCTCTTCCTGCTATCGGTGCTGACCGTCTGCAGGGGCCTTCCCTGGGGTGGGGGGACAAGGGGCCTTTCTCCTGCTCTGGGAACAAGGCACCTGCCTGGGGCACGAGGCCTGGCTCCTTCTCCCGCAGCCGCTGCACTGCATCCACCAGGAAGGGCACCTCTCGGAAGGCCAGGAAGCCCGACACGTAGGGAGCTGTCAGGTGGACCATGCGGCTCTCCTCATATACCACCTGCCACCAGGCACGCAGGTCAGTGGGCAGGCACGGCCCGGGGCCACCTGCCCCTCCCTCCCCTGCATCAATCCTTCATTGCAAGCCCCCTTTCTCCTCGGCCCCACCCCTGCGGCTCCCTTCTCTTCCTCACCTATCAGGTGGAAAGTAGAAGACATGGGTTTGAAAGAATGGACGTGACCTGCCCTGTAAATCAGTGCGGGGACTCAACTCCATGTTATACACTGGACCTGGTGTGTATGAGGAACACCGTCCCCTGCAGGACCCGGTTTGTGTGAGGAGCCCCGTCCCCTGCAGGACCCGGTGTGTGTGAGGAGCCCCGTCCCCTGCAGGACCTGGCGTGTGTGAGGAGCACCTTCCCCTGCAGGACCTGGCGTGTGTGAGGAGCACCTTCCCCTGCAGGACCTGGCGTGTGTGAGGAGCACCTTCCCCTGCAGGACCTGGCGTGTGTGAGGAGCACCTTCCCCTGCAGGACCTGGCGTGTGTGAGGAGCACCTTCCCCTGCAGGACCTGGCGTGTGTGAGGAGCACCTTCCCCTGCAGGACCTGGCGTGTGTGAGGAGCACCTTCCCCTGCAGGACCTGGCGTGTGTGAGGAGCACCTTCCCCTGCAGGACCTGGCGTGTGTGAGGAGCACCTTCCCCTGCAGGACCTGGCGTGTGTGAGGAGCACCTTCCCCTGCAGGACCTGGCGTGTGTGAGGAGCACCTTCCCCTGCAGGACCTGGCGTGTGTGAGGAGCACCTTCCCCTGCAGGACCTGGCGTGTGTGAGGAGCACCTTCCCCTGCAGGACCTGGCGTGTGTGAGGAGCACCTTCCCCTGCAGGACCTGGCGTGTGTGAGGAGCACCTTCCCCTGCAGGACCTGGCGTGTGTGAGGAGCACCTTCCCCTGCAGGACCTGGCGTGTGTGAGGAGCACCTTCCCCTGCAGGACCTGGCGTGTGTGAGGAGCACCTTCCCCTGCAGGACCTGGGGTGTGTGAGGAGCACCTTCCCCTGCAGGACCTGGGGTGTGTGAGGAGCACCTTCCCCTGCAGGACCTGGGGTGTGTGAGGAGCACCTTCCCCTGCAGGACCTGGGGTGTGTGAGGAGCACCTTCCCCTGCAGGACCTGGGGTGTGTGAGGAGCACCTTCCCCTGCAGGACCTGGGGTGTGTGAGGAGCACCTTCCCCTGCAGGACCTGGGGTGTGTGAGGAGCACCTTCCCCTGCAGGACCTGGGGTGTGTGAGGAGCACCTTCCCCTGCAGGACCTGGGGTGTGTGAGGAGCACCTTCCCCTGCAGGACCTGGCGTGTGTGAGGAGCACCTTCCCCTGCAGGACCTGGCCTGTGTGAGGAGCACCTTCCCCTGCAGGACGTGGGGTGTGTGAGGAGTCCCCAGGATCTGGTGTGTACCAGGAGCCCCACACGAGCTGGGCTAAGGTTGGTGGTCTGCTTCACCCGTGCCTGCCCCTTGCCTTCTCGAGTCTTCTCCTTGTATATTAAAGCTAATACCTAGGCTACCCCACCTCCACGGTTGTTGAAGGATCAAGAAGGACAAAGCCCAAGAAAAGACGATGTGAGTAAGGGCACGTTTGTATTTACATTATTCGGCTTTTTTGGCAGCTGGTCAGTACAAGGAACAAACCCTGGACCTTGATGTTATCAGCACCGTGCTCTAACAATTGAGCTAATTAGCCAGCCCTGTATTTACATTAAAAGGGACCCTGGGAGCAAAAGGCCATGTCTTCACAGAGGTTGCAAGAGCAAGGCAGGCAACACACCGGCTTTACGAAAGGAGATTCAAATAATCCAGAGACAGGACAGGCATGATCTCACAGCAAGACAATCCAAAAGAGAGTAGGGGTCCCGAGGGATAGGACAGTCGATGAAGAAAAACTGAGGTTGCAAATAATCCCAGAGCAAGAAGGGAGGATGTGGTGGCATGGAGCCCCCGGGACAGGATGTGGAACTCTAAAAGGCCTTATACAAACTGGGAGTAGGACTGGAGACAGAGGTCTTGAGTAAGAGCTAGCAGGGGCCCAGATGGTCAGGAGCTTTCCAGAATTGCCGGAGGCAACTTTAAAAAGTGCGGCTGCCTTTCTTAGGGATTCTCTGGTAAACAGACTTTTTCAAACTAACACACGGTGTGGAAGAGGGCAGCCCTGCTCATATCTCATTAGAACATTAAAAGGGATCCCCTTCGAGTAAATCCCAGTGGGCCCGAGTCCCCTAACCTTGGGTTTTCATCAGAGTGAGACCAGTCTGAACACAGAGACACGTTTCCTACTATGCACACTTTCTCCAGAACCTTCTACCTTCCTGCATTTTTGTTATGGAACCTCCCAAGGCTCTAGGTGATGGCTTTAACATCACAACTTCCACTCCTGCCTTGAAGCTGAGTCAATAACCAAATGCACCTAAGAGAACTGACTATTCTGCATGAGCAGCGAGAGCCAGGGCTTGTCCTCTCAACGTTTTAATCAACAACCTAAGAGGAAACTTACCAAATCTGCCAATGACCCAAAGTGGGGAGGGTCCAACCCAATGACAGACAAGAGAATTTGGATTCACGATGAACCCAGCAGGCTGGACTGCTGAACCCCACACAAGATGACTTTTCAAAGGGACGCACATGGAGACTGAGTGTGGCCTGAGTTCCCATGGGATGATGGTGGCTGCTTCCATCTGAATCTCTCTGTACAAGTTCTAAAGCCCAGAGAGGTCAACAGGAGGAGAACTGCCTATGGCAGAAGAGCAGATGAGCCTATCGCAGATGCTGGGTGTACACCTCTGTGGGAAAGGAACAGCCCAGGCAGCGGAGCCGGCTCAGACGCTACACTGGGCAGAGGATGGTGGGGCTGGCGAGGAGGGGAGGGCGTGGCGGGGTCCTGACCAACGCCACCTCAGAAATGAAGAGGATGAAGTACAAAGTGACCAAGGGGGACGACTTAGACTGAGAGTACAATACGAACGGTTGAGGAGAGGAATGAAACAGAAGAGAAGAGAACAAAACGTAGAGAAGCTAAGAGAAACAGCGACGGAGAAAGTGGGCAGGCAAAGAAAGGCCAGCGCCCACGTGACTGCAGGACCTGCAGGACAGGGACAGGACCGCGGAGCCGACTCACAGCCGGAGCCAACATTTAAAACCATAGCCAAGGAACATTCCAAAAATGTGACCCACATATCGAAAGAGCCAACTGTGAACCTGGGAAAACTCATCAGAGTGGTCAACTCAAGACATGTCTCAGTGCGGGGAAAAGGGGGAAGAGAACAGGCAACAAACTGGACCAAATTCCACAGAAAAGGTAACATATTTATGTTACAGCAGTGAATATAACATAAAATACTCATTCGTGTTAAAACTTTACATATCAGAAAACAAAACGAACCAGTTTTTTTTTTTTTTTTTTTTCCTTTTTGTCTTTTTTTCGTGACCGGCAACGGATCGCAACCCTCAGTGTTGCGCCCGTACCGGACCGGGACCGGCCACGGGATCGCAACCCTCAGTGTTGCTCCCGCCCCTCGCTCAGCCAGTGAGCGGCTGGTCTGTATGTGGGATCCGAACCCTCGGTGGGAGCGCCACCGTGCTTCCCAAGCGGCGCACTACAGAAGTGCTCCACCAGGCCAGCCCCGAACCAGGTTTTAGAGACATAACTCGGCGGGAGCGCCACCGTGCTTCCCAAGCGGCGCACTACAGCAGTGCGCCACCAGGCCGACCCCGAACCAGCTTTTAGAGACATTATGGGAACGAGTGAGGAAGTGTGAGTATGTCCTGGGATTCGGGTGGTATCATGGGATTATGATGATTTTTCGTAGGTGCAATAATGACGCTGCAGTTATGTAGAAGAATGTCTCTCTCAGGACAGGTCTGCTGATGTATTTAGAGGTGAGCTGTCACTGGTGTCTCAAATTGTTCAGTACACATACACATACACTCACACAATATGACAAAATCATCAACAGTTGAATCTAAGTAGAGGGTACACAGGTGTTTAATGTACTTTTTTTCTCAATTTTTCAGTATGTTTGTACATTTTCAGATTACAAATCTGGGAAAAGGAAAATCAACTGTGTAATTAGTGTGTGGGCCAGATCTGGATGATCAGCAATCTCTGAGAAGATTGGGAAGTTTCAACATAAGCCAATGATGCAGTGCCCACAAAGATGCAAACAACGCCTTCACCTGCATTCACAGAAATGACGCGTGTGGCTGTTAGGTCCACTGAACTGGGGTTGAATTACATTTGCAGCACTATGTTCAACTCTGGATGCCAGACGTAAAGACAGACCCTGCTAAAGGAGGGCATCGCAGAAGGGCCGTCTGCAAGAGAAACAGCGGGCAGTCACTGCAGCCTTCCAGGACAGTGCAGATGAGAAGAGCACAGAGCTGTTTCCCATACTGGAAGGCTGACACACAGAAGAGCCAGTGAGATCTGATCTGCATTTTGCTGCCTGAAGGTGGAACTGATAAACAGAAGTCACAGAAAAGTAAGTTTCAGCTCCCTGTGGAGAACAATGTACTAACCACAGCATCCAGCTACAGAATGGGCTAGGCTGCGAGGCCATGTTTTGTCGGCGAGGCTGAGGAAAGGATTCTTGACTGCATGAAAGGCAGGCCAGTGATTGCCTAAGAGGGCTTTGCTTTGCAGTCACAGGGAAGCTTGTTTAAGAAAGCAGGTTCCCAGGCCATAGTCTGGGAGATTTTTTTTCCCCTGGTAAGTGGGATGGGGCTCCAGAATCTGTATTTTTTTTAACAGCTTTACTGAGACATAATTTATATACCATAAAGTTCACTTGTTTAAAGTGTATAATTCAATGGTTTTTGGTATTTACAATTGTGCAACTATCACCATAATCTAATTTGAGAACATTTTTCTCAACCCCAAACTAAACCTCTTACCCATTACACTGTCCCTCCCCATCCATCCCACCCCCAGCCCTAGGCAACCATGAATCTATGTTCTGTCTCTATGCATTTGCCTATGGAACCCGTCTTTCCAAACACACTTCCAGGTGATTCTGATTCTGCAACTTGGGCATCTGGGAACCATGGGATCAGACCAGACTCTTCAGGATCCTTTCCCCAGTTTAAGCTTCCATAGCAATGACAACAAATGCCGACTGAACATCCAAGTAGCAGGCACTTGGCTTGGTGTTGGAATAACAAAGGAAATACAGTACAACCCTATCCTTGAGAACTTACAGTCAGTGGGCAAGACAGAAACATCAACGAGTAACTTTAATACAACGTGAGAAGGGCGATAATAGCACATGCATTGAAAAGAGGCCAGAACGCAGATGGAAAAAAAGGAAATGGAGGCCCAGAGGCTTAAGTGGGAAGTGGCAGAGCTGGGGTATGAACACAAGAGGCCTGGCTTCTGAGTCCAGGTCCTTACCCCCAACACTATCCTACAAAATGACCGGGAGATCTATGAAGGCAGGGACTCTGGTTCCTTCACCACTGTATATCCAGACCCTAATACACAGTAGGCACTCAAAACATCTTTGCTAAATTTTGGCTGAAAGTTGGCCTCCCGAGTAAAGCACAAAGCTGCAGAGGCAGAGGAGCATCCGGAACAGGTAGAGGAGTGATGAGAGGGTGTATTAGTCCATTTTTGCATTGCTGTAACAGAATACCTGAGACTGGGTCATTTACAAAGAAAAGAGGTTTATTTGGCTCATGATTCTGGGACAGCTGCATCTGGTGTGGGCCTCAGGCTGCTTCTACTCACGACAGGAAGCGTCAGGCTAGCTGGTGATGCAAGATCACATGGTGAGAGGAAGCAAGAGACAGGGAGGGAGGAGGTGCTAGGGTCCTTTAAACAACCAGTTCTCCTGAGAGCGAGCACTCACTCACTACCCAGCTCCAGGGTATTAATCTACTCATGAGGGATCTACCCCCATGACCCAAACTACTCCCAACATTGCCAAGTTGGGGATCAGATTTTGACATGAGATTTGGGGGTGACCACATATCCAAACTCTATCAGAGGGGAAGCCCAGAAGCTTAAGTACAGCAGTTCTTCTTTACCCAAGGCTTCTGGAGCTGGTGACACCAATGAATCATCGGCACACTGTTCATTCGTGGACATATCTACTTAAGAAAGCTTTGCGTGTTTTCTAAATGCCAGGTGTTGAGCTAGATGCAGAGGCTACCACTGGCAGGCAAGACGACATAGTTCTTGCCATCATGGAGTTCACATTCTGGTAGGGGAGACATCTGTACTGATAGAGACGCCAATCCCATTCCAGTGTGACAAAGAGGAAATAGAGGGTTGATCTGAATGGTTTGTGGCCTCCCCTGCCCTAGTCCCTATGTTGAAATTCTCACCCACAAGGTTATGGTATTAAGAGGTGGGGCCTTTGGGGATGTGATTAGATCATGATGTGAGGACACGAAAATTGTCAGTCTGCAACCTGTAAGAGGGCTCTCACCAGAATCTGACCATGCTGGCACACTGATCTTGGACTTTCAGCCTCTGGAACTGTGAGAAATAAATTTCTGTTGTTTAAAAGCTAACCAGTCTAAGGTATTTTGTTATAGAAGCCTAAAAAGACTAAGACAAGAGTGAGAAGCGGTAACTTCTGGTCTTACGGGATGAGGAGCTTACTTGTGGATGAAGGATTGTCTAAACTGGGCCATAGGAGATAAGTAAGTTAGCCAGGTGAAGAATATTCCACGGCAGGAAACATCACTGCAAAGGTAGGGCACCCAGATACAGCATGGCACGTTTGAGGGGTTCAAAGTCATTCAGAGCGGGTTGTGGAGTGTGGGACGGACTGAGGGTGGTGGGGAGAGCTGAGTCTACAGGGTTATAGCAACCAGGGGATAGATCACGAAGGGCCTTTAAGCCATGTCAGAGTGTGAAGTTTATCTGCCATGAGGTCACGGGAACTGCTTAAAATGCTTAAAGAGAACTTGTGGTGACACGATCGCACTTGCTTTTTAGGACAGTTGCTCTGCTGGAAGTATGGAGAAGGGACCACGGAGAAGCAGCACTGGAGGCAGGAAGCCTGTGAAGACACTGCTCAAAACCTACAGGAGTGGTGGAGGCAGGGCCAGGGAAGGGTCCGAGGGGATGCAGACAAGGGTACAGATTTAAGAGGTGGAGGATGGGCCGGCCCGGTGGCGCACTGGAGAGTGCGCCGCTTGGGAGCGTGGCGGTGCTCCAGCCGAGGGTTCGGATCCCATGTGGAAACCGGTTCCCGCTCACTGGCTGAGCGCGGTGCGGGCGCCAACACCGAGGGTTGCGATACCGTTGCCGGTCAGTAAAGAAGACAAAAAGGGGAAAAAAAAAAAAAAAAAGAGGTGGAGGAAATGGAGCTAGCGTGCGAGTGGACACGAGGGGAAGGGAGCGGTCCAGGAAAACAGATTTCCAGCTCCGGCCACTGCGGTGTGGCGCTGCCGGTCACTGAGATGAGGAACCCTAGATGACAATCAGACCTGCAGGTAAAGATCGCGAGAAGATGGTTCCAACGATCACAAAATTCCCTCGGTTTTTGTCTGTCTTCTTTTTTTCCAAACTCCCCAACCTCTTAATGAAATCCTGCCAGACGAGAAGCTGGGTTCTGCCCGGCACTGTTCCCCGTCCTGGAGCCCCCGCCTCTCGGCTGCGGCCAATCCCCGCCCGAGCCCTGGCTCGGCGTCCCGGCCGGGTTACCTGGAGCTCGGGGTAGCTGAGCACCACCAGGGAGGCACAGGCGCTGACGCTGTCCCCCTTCACGAAGGACACGTCAACGCCCCCGACCCTGTGCAGCCCCGAGAAGGCGGGGTCCCGCTGCCACGCCTCCGTGTCCCGGTCCACGACGCGGGCCTTCAGCCGGGCCTGCTCCCTAGGAGGACAGAGGCGTCACGCCGGCCGGCCCACGGCCCCTCCTCACCCCCGCGGCCGCGCTCTACTCGAGCGCGCTCCCGTCCAGCACAGAGCCAGGCCCCGCGCGGGGACGGCAGGCGACACACCGGCGGGGACACGCGCGGGCCGCGCAGGCGGGACGGAG